TGATTAGCATACCGGGTGTGAACGATCCGATTTGGTTTTTGTGTTCAAACCAGAATCTGTCGCCGTATTTCAGATTATAAAACTGAATGCCGATAATACAGGTGAATGTGGGACCGACCGCCGCGCCCGGCAACGGATACTCAGCCAAACCGGCGGAGAATAGGTCCAAATCGTGGACTGATCTGATGGTCACACCAAACACATCGGCATTAATCTCCAAGCACTCATCAATTAATGAATAGATAAGGAAATGTGTGATTACTTGTAAAGGTTTTGGAAGCGCATCCTCTGCGAGGTAGGCATGTATTGATCCAATTGGTTCCAGTGGGAGATCTTCTCGTCGAAACAGAACTTCAAGTAACTGGTGTAGCCTCTGATGCCGTGATCCCTGGCCCTCTGTATGTTGAACGCCGGCAGATCCAGACCGTACGGGTTGTCTTTAGGCCGATAGAGATGGTTCTTCATGTCGGACGAGACAAAGGGGTCCCTATTCTGAGCGGCTTGACTGATGAGACCGCGGAGGACGCTGTCCAGCTGTCCCTCATAGAAGCCGAACGGATTGAAGAAGAACTCCCGCAACCGATAGCCGGATGTCTTTCCGTTGGGCAGTATTTCGGCGAACACGCTGTTGACTAGAGAGTGGCCGAACCGGAAGGCGGCGCCGGCGAACTCGTTGATGACGCCGGCGTTCACGTGCGGGTCGTACTCCGTGTAGCCATCGCTAAGTATGCTGAGCTTCAGGAACTTCATGGCGTCCGGACCGACGACGAGTGGCAGCCACTCGGCGTACACCACGTGCGACATCTGCGCCACGATTATCCGTCTGCGGCGGGAGGAGTGGTTTGGGGCGACAATAGGTAAACATGTTTAGCATTTCATTCAATGGCTTTCATTGTGTGTTTATATTAATAGCTAAACTTTATGATTATTTAATTCCCTAACAATAGCCGCGTTTAAGACGTGAATAACAGTCTTATACACGCTTTCCTAAACAACTCGTAAAAAGCCGTTTATTTGTATTGTGACTGTAGGTGCCCTATTGATATAACTATAGCTATTTTTATAGACACTATTATCGATAATAAGAGGATTTGGTGGTTATATCCACCGCACAAAACACAACACATACTTAGCCTCCTCGTAGAGTAGCTCTCCATTCCAGTGCGGGTTTATGTGTTTCAACTCATTGACGACCCTATTGTGCTGCCGGAGCCACAGCACGTGTAAGGACATGAGCGCCGGGTGCTGGTTGGCCCGCTTGTCGCCCGCCTTGAAGCAGAACTGCTGCTCATCGGGTTTGGAGCACTGGTCGCTGGCGGGCTCCGGCGAGTGCGGCAGGAGTTCCCCTCCGTTCCGGGCCAACGACACGTGCATACGACCCGCGGGTCCCGATTTGGTCCAAAGGGATTCCGTCTCGTTCTGCATCGAGCCGTACAGTTGGGAGCCGTCGATGTAAGCCGTGATTTGGTTCATCTGTTCCCGGGGGCCGAGTCGGCACTGCGGGCACATCGCTGTCCGCACGAAGTTTAGACAGTTTTCCTCCCATTTCGAGTAGAAGGGGTCGTCCAGTGGTACCAGAATTGGGTAACTGTGCGCGGAATGTATATATTAGCAGTTTGTTAGGTAAGCAATCACATTTTCTGTGGTGAACTCAATAGGAAATTTGATTTGAATAATTGTGTCTAATCAAATAGTATGAATTCAAATATGTATGCAAATATGTATAATGGTTTTTAAGCAAGATTGCAATCTAGTATTTTTGTAATTCATTTCACATATCATATAATTGTTGTGTATAATAAAAAAATACATTTTCATACATAAGTTAAGTTTAAGTGCATATCTGTTTGCATTCCTTTATAATAATGAGTTAATTAGACTTATAACACAATAAAACAAATAAAAATTCCTCCAGACACTATTTGTTAATGTGCTTATAATTGACAACAAAGTAAATAGCATACCATTGCGGATGACTATTGGGCTCTAAGGGACAGCACTGTATCATCTTTCCATCCTCTGGTTGTTTGGCAATTGAAGTGAAACAACAAGAAAAGAGTCAAAATATAAGAGTAATCATAGAGTTAATGATCTGAACTCAAAACAAAACTATTTATGCCATTAATGTATTCATTGCACACATAACGGTATATAACAGTACGTATAATCACGTATAACAGCATACATTATATAACCGTAACGTTTATATCATACAGGTAATAACAAAATAAATAATTCTCAGAGAGTGTAGTTCCCCTTACTTGTCCTTGAGCTGGGAGTGAAGGCAATGTCATGTGCGAAGAACTGTCCGTACTGCATGACCATGTGGGTGTAGGTGGCCGGGTAGTTGAGATCCCGGTGCACCACCGCCGACAATATACGGGGATTAGGCAACGGATGGCCAGTGACCGATATCCTGGGCGCCGACTGGCCGTCCGCGTAATCGGGGGCTATTAGGCGCACAAAACACGAGAAGGACTTCCCCCACGTCGGGTGATGGAGGTTATTGCAACTGCCGTCGGCCGTCCGGTACCGGGAGGGCCGGCAGTGCACGAACTGCTCCTCTTGACACCGATGGACGGCCTGCCGGGCGATGGACGAGGCGGTCAACGGTATGGCCGACAGTGCCATCGCCGACTCGGCGAAGTCCATCTGATCGGACATGTCTTTCGTGATATTCTTGAGCAGTATTTTACTCGTCTCTTCGAACACCTCCTGCATGTGCTCTAATTGGTTGCCTTTGGCGAGCGTCGTGGTGACCGCCTGATGGCGACTGGTGGCCGTCACCTTATCCATGTCGGTGGTGAAGCCATCCTTGATCAGGTCGTTCTCGTGGCGCAACTTCTCGACCACCCTGGTCTTGCCCGCGTTGAACGCCTCGTCCAACTCGAGCGTCGAGTAATTGGGAATTTTGATCTTCTCGCTAATTTGCTGGACTATCCGTTTGGGTAACAGTACTCCCTGTGCGATGGGCGCCAGTTGTGACACCAATATAACGGCGACGATGAGGAATGATAGCGACAGGAGTCGCGGAGTGTGTCGTGCGGTGTATCCAGTTTTGCTGGTGGATGTGGTGGTCGGGGCTGTGATTCTCCTATTGTTCATCACATGTGAGTTATGAATAGAAACTAACATTTTGGACGAAAAAAAGCCGCACTAATTAGTGCCTCGCGTTTTCATATGTACTGTAGTTTCCTAATGATTGTCGGTGTAGGAGATGGTGTACAGTATAAATGAGAGGTCTTATAGCACACACACTACTGGCCTATAATCCGAGTGCACTGTAATGAAAACGCATTGAGAACTCTGTATAATTCATTGGAGACACATATTCTCATATCATATGGTTTTGAGCACTAGTTTCCCAGTGAAGATGAAATTGTTGAGTGTTTTTAGTGTTCACTCAATGAGTTCTGAACGCAAAATGTGTCGAATTTGAGGTCACCGGTCGACCCAATAAAACGGGTTTTCTTCTGCAAATGCATTACAGTATTGTTTGTTTAAACTTTAAAGTCTTACTAACAGTATATGTATTTATATGTATATGCGATGGGAGAGAGATATTAAAGTTTCTAAACACAAAACATGTCGAGTGGAGAGAGAGAGAGAGAGAGAGAGAGAAGATTAGTAACCAGTCTTGTGATGGGATGCGATCCGCCACTAATGGCGATATTGCGGTAGAAATAAGGTTGTGAAGTCACAAACAAACTTTTGATTGTATAATTTAAGTATCTTATATTATTTTATTTGTAATTTAATCATGAATTTGCATATCATTGCAGTTGATAAATTTATACGATTGTAGAATGGATGCTATAAATAACTAATTTTTAAATATAACAATATCAACTATCAATTTAAATAAATTATTTTATTTGTAATTTAATCATGAATTTGCATATCATTGCAGTTGATAAATTTATACGATTGTAGAATGGATGCTATAAATAACTAATTTTTAAATATAACAATATCAACTATCAATTTAATATTAGTCATTTAACTGTTATAACCACTTTGAAAGTTTTATTTTAATAAATTAACGTTTAACATTTATAAAGGCTCCTAATATTACGTTTCCATGGCCATAATATTATGTCCCGAGTCCATACATGTGATTTGCAGACAACCTTAGGTATTAGCGCTCACGAGTCACGCAGAGGTATGTATATTTGCGAACTGCCCTCAAGTTATACGGAATCCGCACTGAGAGGACGACTAATCAATAATATATTGATAACCGAAAGTGAATGCGAAAACTGAACAGAACTGGCCCGGGAATGGTAGCCCTATATTCGCTCCGTATTTATATCTATTAATGCATTCATTTGAACGCAAAAGTGAGAGCAAAGTACCTAAAACTGATGGCAAATCTAGGTCATTTCTTATTTATATATTTATTAATTCACTTAAATTTCTATCATCTCTCTCTCCCTACCATTGCAAACATCTCCACATTTTTAGTTCAAATATATATTTCACGAAAACACCACAAAATCCAATACTATTCGCAAGTTTTTCTTGTTTTCTCGTATTTTGGTGGTTACTATAAAAAATCTTGTATTTAATTGCATTTTTTAAAAGCTCTCTCTCTCTCTCTCTCTCTCTCTCTCTCTCGACAATTATACTAAAAAAGAAAATATATAATCTAAACATTATACTAAAATAAATTTAAAAGTTTTAAATAGAAGTAAAAATATACACAGTACCTAGTAGGTACTACCTACAGTACAATATGTATTTAAAATGTTTGCAAAATTATACACGGCGACTGTAAAAATCTGGTGTATTATTAATAATAAGTGTCTCATCTATACGAGTGTGTGTTTTAATAAAATCAAACATTTATTTTTTAAAGAGTCGTTTATAAACAATAACACAACAGAGAGAAAATTCAGTCTTATATTTGTCTATAGTTTATTCAACTCTCTGTGCAAAACATGGGAAATATTTAGCAAAAATGTTTAATATATAACATATTGTCTGTTTTCTCAACCATAAAACTTACGTTTGAGTAAGTCTGATAACTTATCTAAAACACTGTGTCTTCCGAATTAGGATAGCAAATAATAATTAATGTTTTATTGTGTTATAAAATATGCCTATTAATTTGTTTGGCAAAAACTTATACTATACTTTTTTGTCTATAAAAGGCATATAATCTATAAGTATTACTCAAGTATTCAAAAACCGAAAAAATATGAACCAATTTTCGTGCTGCCTTTCAATCTCTTTAGTCACACAACAGATATAACTATTTTCGTAAAATCATTTTATTTAACCATAAAAAATTACACGGAATTTTATATCTATTAACGAATCAAATATAGATTTTATATTTATATTAATAGCGAGTGGCAGTGGAAATTGAATGGCTATATTCAGCCACATACATTGCAAAATTGTTTTCAAACACACACATTATGTGTTTCAAAAATTACTTTGTAAAAAATAAAAATCTCTTATCAATTGTGAGAGTTTTTATTCACTGTTTAGAAAAACAGTGTTCGTGTGCCTGATATTCAATTCCCTTTTTATAATCCCTTTCTAAACATAACTACAAAATTAAATANGTGTTCGTGTGCCTGATATTCAATTCCCTTTTTATAATCCCTTTCTAAACATAACTATGAAATTAAATAAAATAAAAAATATTCACATTTATTTTGTAAAATATAAAAGTTTTTAAATCCAGATACAAAACGATTATAATAAACAAGAGATTACTAGTACTGTGTATTTTGTATGTAAATATGCAGTAATTTTTTCTTGTACTCCGGAGCAGTAGTTCTGTATTACACGGCATATAATAATTATTATAAATATTTTTTGGTATTTAATTTTTTTTATTTCTCTCGCCAGACGTCTTGTGTCCAAAATTAGACTCAAATTTCATATTACGGTATATTTTTTGCCCTAAAACTCTCTCTCTCTCTCTCTCTCTCTCTCTCTCTCTCTCTCTCCTTCTCTCTTTCCTCATGACTACCGCATTCATAAAACTTTATTTTTAAGGCTATATTAAGTCTCTCTCCCTCTGAAAAACGTGTTTTAATAGGTTATAAAAGCGATTCATAAATTCTTGTTATTATTTTGAATAATAAAAATATATTTTCTTTGAATTTTCGTTTTAATTCATTATCTTTTTTCAGTCGGATTTTTATAGTCTTTTTCCAACAGAAAGAGCCTTTTTTGGCAAATTTTGTGTTTTGTTTGCAAATATGAATTGATTGCCCATAAAAAATTGTATTCAATTTCGTACAATTATATAATAGATTTTTATTGAAATACTGTCTAAAATACTATTGAATCGAAAACCAATAAATCAATCATTAAAATAGAGTAAAACTTCATAATAATGTTCAATACTTTTAGTTGGGTTTACGCCGAAAATAAAGTTATAATTTAATTATAAATACATCAAAAAATATTTAAAAGTATAACGAAAGCGGTTTTAGTTGTTTTTTATGAATTCACAGAAAAGTTTTTTTTATCGATAACTAAGTCATACGGCGACCGCTTTTCCCCTCAAAACTCATACCAAACTCTACTTTGAAGCGAAAATTCAAACCAAAATTGGTTTACTATTTGCCAAATCTATCGTTACATATAAGTGTCTCTTAATTTAGTTTTATTTTTAAGTTTAAAAGACATTTAAAATTCAAATAAACAGTCGCTGCCAGTGATGAACACTCGGCTAATAATTTCGATTACTTTTCAATTAATATGTCATTTAAGAGTAAATGTCAGGAAATGTACCGCAAAAATAAAGTTATAAAAATATTTTACAAAAATAAATATAACTTTTTAAAAAGTTAGTTGTAGTTGGAGATAAAAATTAATTAGTTTTACTTTAGAAATGCAAAATACGTAAAATTTTATTTTAATTTTATTAATTTATTTATTTTCATTAAATATAACTAAATAATGTTAATTTGTAATCTTTTCAAATATAAATTTATTTTTATAGTACACTAGACTTTTAATTACTTAACTTATTATACTATCCCGAATTGTTTTATTTTTATTGTGATTTAAATTTTTTAAAGTAATAAACTACCAGTTAAGTTTCTATTTAAAATTTATATTTGCCAAATAATATCCATATCTAGGTTTATACATATACATACAGTAAGTTTGTGTATATATTTTTTAACATGACGGAAATAATTGTTTAAAAATAATTTTGAAATTAGTTGACTAATACATTAGATATTAGTATCTGATTAGGAGCTAATACTATGGCATTAATTATAATAATATGAGGGAAACATACAGTAGATTATTATCACCTTAACTATCAGAAAAGTCTACAAAATAATATCCAGTATATTAATCATTAAATATAATTTTATGCCAAGAATTTGTGTACAATTTTGTATTTGAAATCAATGTCTCAGTTGCGTAATGCCAACAAATTTGTGTGAGTCTTGTATCTTATATTTATCTACATATCATCTAAAATCTAAATTGAGGTCTAAATTACGAATTAATTGTTTAAATTATGAAAACATTTTCAAATTTAATTAATTTGGGAAACGTGATGAAAATTTTTATTGTAATTTTGCGCGATGATGATGAACTTCATCCCTATATACCCCATATAATGGTTTAATGTAATATGTGTTGTGATAGCAAATAAAATAAAAAACTAATTAAGCACTTCACAATATTATGTGACTGCATAATGAATGTCAAGGTTTGTAATGAAGTCAATACAAACACACATATTATTCAATACAAAGGCATTGATCTCTCGATGTTTTTACATGAGTTTGTATTTATTTACTGAAATACTTATGATATGACACCTGAAAGAGAGACAGAGATATGCAGCAAAATTGGATAAAAGGGTCACTTCTAATAAAATACTTGCGAAACATATTCATTGCGAGTTTGATATTGTTTTTAATGGCCTAATAAGACATTACGAGATAATAATAACCAAACAAAAAAAGCCATACAATCGTTGGCTTTTATGACTTTGCAATCATTCATCGGGTGATGTAGTAGTGATTGTATGGAAACACATATATTTAATATGCTATCATAAAATTGAATCCTAATTATTTTAATATTACAAATTCCTATTCATAGTACCCGTTACC